ACTGTTAGCTGTCCAGTTTGGAGTAGACTAAGCCACTGGCAGAGCTCATTAGAGATGACACTGGCTGGTGGGCATCGCTCTTTGTCTCCTCGCTTATGTAGCCCAAGTGCCAGTTGATGGGCGGTGAGGTGGGCTCCTCATTCCCAACAATCAAAATGTACATGATGGGGCAACCTAGAGGACAGCCAGAGACTTTATGCAAGAGGAAGATTGGGAAGCTTTGTGGCTGGATGGATCAAGAGAGGATTTCAGAAGATGAGCCGGGGATTTGGGAAGGGAGGCCATGCTAGATTATTGTCTGGTTTTGTAATGCTTGGCCGACAAACAGACCTTTAGCTCTGACTCCCACTTGAATGTGGTCTTCGTTGACTTCAACAGGTTTTAGTCTGATCTCTAGTGCTCTTCTAGGGAAAATTCAAACCATTTCCGGATGGAAAAAATATGGAACTCAAAAATCCCACTATTGATCACTATCAGTTGTTCCTATAGATATGTATTTATTTTTGACTTCAAGAGCTGCCCATCTCAGTAAATAATTATGGGCTTTTTACAATTCAAAACATATTACTATTAAAAATAATAAAAACATTTTAAAACAATAAAAACAGTAAACAGCATTAAAAAGAATGGGTGTAGAAATTAGATGGAACAACTGGATTTACAGTTAGATACAAGGATGCCAGTAGCTGTCAAATTTATTGCTATGCAATAGGACTGAGATAATGTATTCTGGCTCCTTGTTTAAAGTTTACATAGCCTTTGCAGAAGTAAACAATTTAGAGGATTTTGATTTATACCCTCAACTAACCGATAAATGGCTATAGCCCATTAAAAGCTAGCATGCTGGTCTTTTGTAACAGTACTAAGACTCCTAAGCCACACATGAACAATCAAAGTGACAAGTGGAAAGCTTTTTCCATGAAAGCAGAAGCTTGGGAGAGCATCAGACTCAGGGGTCCCTTCCTGACCTTGTGTCATATTAGATACAAGCAACAGAATATAATCAGATCAGTGCCTTAGACTTTAAAAGAGCTGATTTTAACAAACTTAGAGATCTCAGGAAGGATTCCATGTGTGAAAATCTTAAAAGGGGAAAACAACTCAGGAAGCTTGGGAAACTCTGAAAAATAGGATTATAAAAGCCCAGCCCAACATAATACTACTAAAAAGAAAAATAAGAAATCAAAGAGGAAACCAGCATGGTTGCACAAAAATATCTCTGATAAATTGAAACACAAAAAGGTTAAGTATAAAAACTGGAAAGAGGGATATATAATTGGAGTATCTTGCCAGCCGAGATGCCCCTGCTTTGCCTCCTTCTGGAGAGGTGGACTCCTTTGGTTTTGCCTTTCAAAAGCCAAGACAGAATCGATACCAGGATGGAAAAGAAGAAAAATGAGAGGACTCTTAATTAAAAGTCTGCCAGAGAAAGGCCTTGGCGTGGGGTGAATGGATTGGGGCCACAGGCCCTTTACCTGCCTTTAGCCAAGGACCAGAGTTTAGGAAGAGGAAGAAGCAGGCTCCTGACAACCCAAATTTGGTTGTGCAAACTGCCCAAGTGAGAAGAGCTTGGATTCTCCAAGAGAGGCCAAGGCTGCCTTCCCAAAGGACTTCTAGGTAGAGAGACCAGTTTTGCAGCCACTGAAGGATACAATTGGTAGGTGCCCCAGAGTCTCATCAGCAGAGAGTTAAGGTACAGCAAAAGGAAGTTGCCAAATCCCAGAATCGGATGGGCTGCTGGGGATCAAAAAGCAGAAGAGAAAGGCAGAAGCTGGCGGCCGGAACTCTTCCCCGGAGATGCTGCTCAGAAGCTCAGGTGTTTTTACTGCAGAACATGAGGAGAGCCAGAGAGAACGAGATTTATCATTCACAGCTCTTGCTCAGGGAACAAGTGGTAGCTGTGGCCAGGACACATTTTGCACTGCTTCCTATCATGCAATAACTGTGGCCATTCGTGGATCAAAAAGCTCTGCTCACAGTTGTTTGTCCCTCAGTCACCTATCAAATGGACCACTGTCTTTACAGGCCTTGAAAGGCATCCAGAAGCTGCTGCAGGCTCAAATGCAGATGTACAGGCAGTTCTGTGCGCTCACTGATGGGAGCTGCCTTGGTTGTCAGTGTGCTCTCAGTTCAATCCAAGGTGAGGATAGTTGCCTATGAAGTCATTTATGGCAAGGGCTGGGCAATCTGAGGACCCACCTCTCCTTGATTAGATCTACTCTACATCAGCCAGCAGGAGAAGCATGCTAGGGGTCCTGCTATCAGGGAATGCCATCTGATGGGAGCCTTTTCTGTCCTGGCCCCTCTAATGGAGTATGTGGGTGATCTTGGGGGACGAGGGGAAGAGATGCTGCCTAAGAAACCATCAGAGAAGAGAGGCAGGAGTCCTTGATGACTTCATGGTCAGAGAAAGACACTTAGGAAGGACTTGTCTTAATTGATTCAGCTGTTAAAAGTGGCCATGGGAGACTGGTACCTTCAGACTTGCAAGATTCTGTTAACTCTACAATAGCCATAGCAACAGCACTTAGACTTATACACCGCTTCACAGCCCCCTCTAAGCGATTTGCAGAGTCAGCTTCTTGCCCCCAACAATCTGGCTCCTCATTTTAGTAACCTGGGAAGGCTGGAAGGCTGAGTCAACCTTGAGCCCGGTGAGATTCGAACTGCCAAATTGCAGGCAGCCAGCAGTCAGCAGAAGTAGCCTGCAGTACTAAACTCTAACCATAAAGCAGAATTAGTTCACTTGATTGTTCCTGCCTGGTCTACCTAATGGCGGAGACTCTGGAACATCATCCAAGGAGATTGAATTATCCTCAACCAAGGTGCCTTTCATATGGCTTAGNGGCCGTTGGGAGGTATGTGGCAGTAGGCCGTCTCACAGGTACCCTTTCAATAAAGGACGGCTCCATTTCACTGTAATGTCCATAACCGATGCTTGCAGAGGGATGACTTGTCCATCACATGCAATGTCAGGTTTCCACTGAGCAATAAGCTTATTTTATAAATATAATCTTTATTGTCATTGTACTTAAATACAATTATTTTATTTTCCCAATTTTTAAGGCCTAGTCTCTTAGCAATTTTGTTTTTGTTTGGCTCTTTTTTTCTTTCTATACTTTTTTCATTCTTATGTTTAATGAAATAAAAGCTCCTCTTTTAACATCCTCCAAAGCAGAGTTGGGGAAGAGTGGGTGGGTGAGCCTTCTGCAATTTACCCTCTCAGGAGAAGAAAGAGCTGAAAAGCAAGCTCAGCCAACAGATCTGCAGGCCAGTTGCATCAGGGCTCCACCTTCTCTTGCCTGCTGCCAGGGGGCCTTGCCCACCTCCTCTGGGGGAAGCACTGCCTGGGGACGTTGGCTGTAAGTTGGCGTTCCCTAGATTATTATTTCAAGCCAGCTGCCAAAATCACGGATAAGGAGATCTGGCCGAGTGACTGGTTCCCCAAGTGACCAGAAAAAAAAAATCAGAGAGGAAACAAAGAGCTGATTAATAAGGAATTTGTAGGAGGAATTTAGTGCTAGTATAAACTGAAGGAGGACTGTTTCAAAATTAAAAATGATAAATCTTGTACAAGGGGTAGAGGAAAGAGCGGGAGGGTGAGTCGGGTAAATTAACAGAAGGAGAGCCAAGTAGTGAGAAGGGCAATGAAAATGAGGAGTAGAAGACCAGCTCGATACCTCAGGAAGCACTACGAGAGCAGCGCCAGTCTCTGCCCATGTATCCAGGGGTTGGGGGAGCTGACACAGTGCCCCCCCCCCCTCTGGGAAGTCTTTCCAGATAGCCCTGAGCAAGTGAGATTGGCCCAAAGCCTGGACAGGGAACCTCGGTGAGGGGAAGGGTGGTGGGTGACTGGAACTGACATTGTGGCTGCTACACACCTCCTTCCACTCACCCCCTCACCCCAAAGGATGTGGCCTGGGGCAAGACAAATTGGGGAACAACCCATCCATCAACCCAGGTCTTCTGTTCCCTGCCTTCCCCTGTCCAAATAAGGCTATTTTAATGCCCAATTTGGTGCTTTCAGTGGGTCGAATGATGGGCGAGTGCACCTTTCCCAATGGCAGCAAAGGACCGTCTCTCAGACGGCTGCCTATTGGTGGGAGGGGGCTCTTCTTCAGCCACGGGACACGGGATGCTACTCCTGCATCAGCCCCGGATCGTATGAATGCAACTCTTGGCCACACATTTTATTCTGATCAATTCAGGTGGGGAAAAGGTTGAGGCAAACATTCCTGTATCTCTAGTGCATATTTTTTATTGGCCTTTTCATGATGTGATTTTTAATGGAAAAGGTGTGTACGTGCTGTATGGATCTTTTGCTACACGCTTTTCCTGGTATGCCTGTGTTGTATGTAGATAGATACGTGGAGTTGTGAACTCAACTGCACACTTCAGCAGATTTCAGTCTTTAGATCTCCAGTGAAAGGCTTGCGGGGAGAGAGCACATTTCTTCTATGAACCTTTGGTGGCCTCTGGATACCCTCATAGGGCACCCAGGGAGGCACACCTACCATTAGGGATTTCCTCTGAACTTCTGGAGCCTCTCTGCATGGGAGTGGCTGGGAGGGACTGCTGGCTTCTACGCTACTCCATAGCTGCCTTCCTCTTTCTGTACCTTCTCTGCCCCGGCAGTCATATTCTCAACATTTCTGCAACCTCTGATTGCAGAGGATTTTCTGCAAAAACTTTCCTCTCTGTTAACAAGACTTTGACAGCCACCAGCCGACGTCTTTATTTTGGCAGATGAATGGCTTCCTCCTAGGGGTGGCTGACCCTGTCCAGACTGGGGAGGACACCTGTTAACTGTGCTTTGTTTTTGCTCTTTGGAGGGTCCTCGAGAGGCCGATGGCTCCGTCTCGTCATTCATGAGACATGTTGGCCTAAACCAATCTTCACCTTTTCTGTGATACATCCTACTTCGATCCCATCACGTTTGTACTGTTTTTATGTTTCTTTTCACGAAGGCTTTTGAGTGACTGCCATTTTCTCTTGCTGAGATCTTTCAGGTGGAGTTCTTAATGACTGGTCTCGCATAACCATGAACCCGAAGGTCTTTAAGCTGCACACCCGGAGTGGCGAGCTGGAGGTACTGGCAGACGGCACGTACTTCGTCTATAGTCAGGTAGAAGTGAGTACGGTCTTAGGCCTAACTCCTTTTCCTCTATCCAAGATGCAGCCTCTGTGGCATCAGAAGGGGGTTGCTGCAGAAGAAGGAAGGCAATTAAAAGTGGATACATTGATAAGTCAGTAGGACATAAATCCGGGACGTTGTGGTATCGCTGAAATGCCAGCTCTCTTGCTAGATCAGGAATGCAAACTTTTCCTTTGCTACACTGTCTGTATCTAACAAGATTCCAATGGAGCCTACAGCCCAGGGGTGGGTTCCAGCAGGCACTACTACAGTGCAATTAAAATTGTTGTGTGTACAAGCGCAGAACCGGAAAACAAGATGACAGCCCCTATGGCGCCGCCTGGAAAACTGGTTCAGGGGTGTGGCAGGCCAGTGTCTCTGCTGTTTTCAGCGACCCAGGCCACCAAACCATTACCGGTTCAGTCGAACTGGTCCAAACTGGTAGGAACCCACCACTGCTACAACGCCCCCTCCCCCGATCCTACCAACCTCGGCTTCCTTCCTTCTCCAAACTTGCCTCTCCCTGCAGTCGCTACCATTTTGCCTGTATGGCATTTTCCAACTGTCGCCTTTGATGGGTGGGATCCCTTTCTCCTTAGCCCCCCCCCCCCTTCCATTTCTTGGTTGCCCCATGTACTTATTCATTTGCCACGTCAACGAATGGGTCCTTTTCTATGTCTCCTAAATTTTAAAAAAATGAAAACCACTTTTCCAGTGTTGTAGGTGCTAAAGGGGAATAAAACCCAACCCCAAAACACTGCAGATCATTTGGGGTGGGTGGGTTAGGAATGGAGCAATAGTGTTGCAACAAAATTATACCCCCCCCCAATAAATAAATGAAAAATAATACAATTTAAAAATAAAACGAAATTCTTGCCAATTTTCAGAGCACATCCCTCGATTTGCAAATCCCAGGCTCTTAAGCCCATGGGAGTTGTACAAGCCTTATCTTGGAGCATGTCTACAAAACACTTTCCTAAGCTGCCTGCTCTAACCTGCCCTGCCCTTCTTGCGGTTGTCCTGTTGTCCTACTGTATATTAGGAATTGCACCTTCCTACAGAATGTGGGGTGGGGTGGGGTGAGGTGAATGAGCACCAGGTAAGGAATCTGGAACTCGCTGGCAGAAGACGGGCCAAGTCCCCAGGGAAAGAGAAGGGTGAAAGGCATCCCTTGCAAGACAAGACTGTGAATGCAGCAGCCTGGAACTTTTTACCCAGGTGGCATCGGCTGGTTTTCACTGGGGACCTCATAAAACTCTAATTGGAGCATTCTATGAAGAATAAGAGGGTTTTAAAAAAAAACAGCTTTCCACAAATAGTTTATTTAGGCAATAGAGCCCATGTGGATGTGTCTCCCCATAGGCCAAATCTTTCCCAATGAAGTTACATATTTTTCTTGTCTGAATGGCCTTATTCCTCAAGAGATGGCATTTCAGCCATGCTGCTTTGATAAGCCATTAACTATGGAAGTGGAAAATCAACGGAAGCCTTATCTTTTCTTTGAAAGTAATCCATAAACAAAATTAGATTTCTTTCAAAGATAATTGATTATCAGTTCAACAATCATTGTGTGTTCCATGAAATTAAATTTTTTTTTTGTGGGACCCTGTGTGCATGAGAGGGAGGCAGCTCTTGGCTGAGTGGCGGGTGCCCATGTTCTCTGCCATCATTAAAGAGTAATTAATTCTGTATTTTGAATAGCAAGGATTGCTGTAGGTGCACTTTTACATGATTCTCCTGTAGGGTTTCTTTCTCCTGGTGATACTTTTTATATTCGCTTCCAATTAGGTGTATTACATAAACTTCACAGATTTTGCCAGCTTCGAGGTGGTGGTGGATGAAAAGCCTTTTCTGCAATGCACTCGGAGTATTGAGACAGGAAAGACCAACTTCAACACCTGCTACACAGCTGGGGTTTGTCTCCTCAGAGCTCGGCAGAAGATTGCTGTGAAAATGGTCCACGCTGACATCTCCATCAACATGAGCAAGCACACCACCTTCTTTGGGGCCATTCGGCTGGGGGACGGGCCCTCTTCCTAAGGACCTGAGGTGGGGCCTTCCCAAACCACCTGGCCTCGCTGTTCAAAAGATTGGGAAGAGTCAAAGAACTGATATTTATTTTTTTATGTAACTACAGAAAGCAAGCCAGGTTTCCCTTGGCTTCATTGGAGCAGTACTTAAAAATGGAGCATTGCTAGGAATGAGACCTTCCACCGAGCTGCATAGATCACATCAGAGGCGGGTCACTTCCTTCCCACAACTTGCACTGATAAGAGTTACTACGGCAACAGATGATGGAAGGCATGCAACTGAATGCTCTCTAGGAAGATGTATGTTAACAGGAAAATTCTTCGTCTCCACCACACACACCCTCTAATTTTTTTATACTTTTTTAAATTATAAGGAACTTTAGAATGTGGCCAAGACATATCCAAATCTGATGACAATAAATTTCATGTTTAGAAACTGGAACTATAGACGAGGAACTGTTGATAAAGCTGGAAGTAGCCCTTGGCAAAAACATACTAACTATCCAGTTAAAGTAGTGAATTTGACTTTCAAACGTTAATGTGTTGTTGCACGTTTTTAAAATGGTTTCTTTGTGGTTTTAGTTTTACAGTCTCTCTCTACCCCAATAGGTTCGGAATGTGGCATTTCCCAATTCAGTTTTGGTACTTTTCTTCCTGGCCAAGATTGGTGGGGGTGGGTGGGTGTCTGTCTTTCTTCAAACTTCCCAATGGGCATTTTCTTTTCTCAGCGAGCTGAGACCAAGTGGTAAAACACAATCTTGCCTTACACAGTGTATTTGGTCCTGAGACGTGGACAAGCAGCCTGTTTCCTATTAAGGGAAGAGAGGCTCAGGGAAGACAATTAGGCAGTTCTAGGATCCAGTTCAGATTTGGGTGGACTCTGGGAAGCAACTTTTTCCATTGTGTACAGATCAATGTCAGACAAACTTTAAAACAACTGCTCCCACTGGATACTTTTAATGCTGTGAATTATAATTGCAAAGACAATATGACCGAGTTCTCTATTTTTTTATGGAACAATTCTGGCAAGCTATATTGTCAGCTGGCAAGGGGGATCAGTTAGGGCCTCTGTCCTTTGGAAAGGTGATGGGAGAAAGTTAAAGCAAGCATTGTGAGGCTATAATTTTGTTTCTTCCAGATCTCAGGGGGGAAAAGCCACCAGTTTGTTTCAGCCAAACCTGTTCTCAGTAACGGCTGCCCTGATAGAGTCGTTGGGGAAGCAGAAAAGTGCCAGTGTGGTGCTTGGTTTTAACTGGCAACTGTAAAGTTGAAATTCTACTCTTGTGTTATGCACAGATACCTTGATTCTACTGGTCTCATTTATGGGCAGAGATGAAGAAATGCTCCTGAAAAAGCCTTGTGTATTATCTGCAGGCTCCAGGTTAGCAATGATTTTTCAAGGAAGACTGCAGCAATGCCAGTCCTGTCACTTCTAGTGATGGAAGCTTCTTTTACTTCGGACATAATAGTGGCCCAAGACTGGAAACTCCCCAAGAAACGACAAAGGCTTCTCTGTCTCTGCCCTTCGACCAGCAACCTCAGGGTCAGGGCTCCAGGTCAGCCGTTCCACTTGTCCAATGGGACACTTGCAGGTAGTCCCTGGCTTTTAACCACAATTGAGGCCCAAATTTTTGTGGCTATGGGGAAACATTTGTTAAGTGAGGTTCGTCCCATTTTACAACCTTCCTTAGCACAATTGTTAAGTGAATCGCTGCAGTTCAGTTAATTAAGTCAGTAGTTAAGTGGATCTGGCTTCCCCGTTGATTTTGCTTTTCAGAAGATCACAAAAGGGAATCACATGATCCCAGGACATGGCAACCATCATAAATATGAATCGGTTGCCAAGCATCTGGATTCTGATGACGTGACTGTGGGGAGGTTGCAATGTCCCAAGCGTGGAAAAACTTTTTTCTGTCTCATTGTAACTCTGAAGAGTCACTAAACAAATGGTTGTAAATCAAGTATTTATGTTCCACTTCAGGCTTCCTGTTTTTAGTAGTTTTAAAGGAGTTGGCTTTATTAGGATATAAGTACGATCTACCATTAGGCATTTTAAAAGTGTGATGTTGGTCAAACTCTGTTCAGGCTCTGAAGACAGGAGAGCTCCAGGCACAGCACAGCTTCCCTTGTGGTGGGGTAGAGATGGCAGTGGGACAGCAATTGTAGTCACGATATGATCTCTGTGTATATAGATATATAGATAAATATATATATATATATNGGGGCTGCTTTCTGCCTCTAAGAACACTTTTCTCCATTTCTCCTTTTGGGAAATATTCTGCCTCTTTAATATTTCTCAAAATAGTTCATTCTTCCTGGGAAGGGGTGAGGAGGTTTCCCCACACTATCATACACTAAAAGGGGCTTCAACGAAGTATTAAAAGTGTGCCTTTTTATGCAACTATGTTATTTATTTTTTCCTCCTAAAAGATTTTGATTTGTTTTTCAAATGAATTGTGCAGCTTATATGTTATTTTAGAGGTGCAAAAATTTGGAAGTTATTTATTTTTATCTGTTTTTTTAATATCCCAAAACCCAGGAATTTTAACAGGGGTATGTAGACTTTCTACCATCAATCCTCTTCCTCCTCCTCTTGCCTATCCCGTGCATGATGAGGCCTCTTCTGCATGTTTCCAACTAATGCAGACCTCAGCTTTCTTTTGCCAGTTGGACCCATATCCATGTAAATAGGAAGACGCCCTCTCTGCACCCAGCTCTAGTCCATGCTTAGAGGCATTTCAACTCTGCCTGATTGACTGTTTCTGCAGGTGAAGAGATGCTGTTCCAGAGAAAGCTCCTGGGGCTTCCAGCTTCCTACCTAACAACCAGGGCCTTCTAGCTGATTGTAATGAAATATTTGGCATTCATGTGCTCCAGAAGGGCTCTCTGGCAACCTGACCAGATGGCAGGTGGCATTGGCGACCTTAACACAGGCAGATTGCCTGTTTAGCCAGCATTGCCCAACGGAAACTAGCCAAGCTGGATCAGCTGCCCACAGAAGGAGAAGTCTTACATATGGCATTCCTGAAACTTTCCTATCCCTTCCCTTAACAATTCTCAATTTAAATGCTGGGTCAATCTTGTGAGAGCAGAGGGAAGGTGTGGTATTGTCCAGATGTATTGAGATCTGCATCACAAAAGCTTTTAAGAGACTGAGCAACCATTTGTCTGGCATGGTATAAGGTTTCCTACTTGAACAGGATGTTGGGCTAGAAGACCTCCAAGGTCCCTTCTGATTCTGTTGTTCTGTTAACCCTTCCTTCCCCTCCCCTCCCCTCCTGGAAGCTTCCCNTTTTTATTGAAGTGCTCCAGCAAAAGGATTTAAAGGAGCCAAGACCCAGACCAATGCACAAATACAAATTGTATAGTTATGATTAAGGAAGACTTTGAAAAATGTGCAAAGATGATTAAAGGCCTAGAGACAAAAACATGAAAACTGGTTGCAGGAACTAGGGTTGGCCAGTCTGGAGAAAATAAGGATAATTTAGGATACGTTAGAAGTGCTAATATCATCTTATAAAATGGTAACAATGAAGCTGAAAGTTTAAGACAGAAAATATATGATGAATTGGACGGGGGATATTTAGTATCATGAAAAAGAGGACTCTGGGGAGACAGGATAGCAGTCTTCCAATATTTTAGGGTCTGCCAGGAAGAAGGGGCACCATCTACTGTGCAAAAGCCTCGGAAGGGAAGCGAGAAGCAACGGATGGAAACTGACCAAGGAGAGAAGCAACCTAGGGCCATTCTAACAGTGGGAACAGCCAGTGGAACTGTTTCCCTCCAAAAGCTGTAAATCAGGGGTGTCCAAAGTTGGGAACTTTAAGACTTGTGGACTTCAACTCCCAAAATGCTGGCTATGGAATTCTGGGAGTTGAAGACCACAAGTCTTAAAAGTTCCCAACTTTGGACACCCCTGCTGTAAATGCTCCAACACTGGAGATGTTTAAAGACGAGGCTGGACAAACATTTGTCTGATGTGGTGGAGGGTTCCCTGCCTGTGCAGGGGGTTGGACTAGAAGACCTCCGAGGTCCCTTCAAACTCTCTCTTGATGAAGTTAACACACCAGGAATAAACCGTGGTTACTCGACCTCCGTTTCTTTGGATCGGATCCCTCTGCTTCGCCCTGCTTCTTCATGCGTTGCAGGTTTATGCTGACAAGCGAGTCAAAAGGGGCGCTTGATTCGCCGTTGGAAGAGGCCAAGGCTGGGAGCCTGCTTGAGGCGGCCGCGTCCTTCCAGCCTGCAACGCTCTTCCGCCCTTCCCGCGGTTCTCGGGTCGCCCAAGGCGGCTCCCCCGCTAGAAGGAGCCCTCGAGCAAGCTTCTAACCGGAGGGCCCCCGCCCCTTCCTCACCCCGCCCACTGCCTCTCGCGGACACGCCAGCCCCGCCCAAACACCGCGGGAGGGCGGAACGGACGGGAGGCCACGCCCTCCTCGGCGCCACCCAGCCCTGCCCCGCAGCGTGACGTTTCCCACGCGCCCGCGCCTTCTTGCGACGTCATTCTCGGTAGGGGCGCGGCGATGGCGGCGGCGGCGGCTGAGGAGGAAGAGCCGGTGCGGCTGTCGGAGCTGCTGGACTCCGGCTACCGGCTACTGGAGGAGGTGGAGAGCGACACCGAGGGGTCGTCGGGAGCGCCCGCCATCCAGCACCGGGTGCAGCGCGGCCTGGAGCTGCTGGAGCGCGCCGCCCGTGCCGTGGCCCAGCTGGAACTCTTCAGGTGAGTCGGTCGGGCGGGCGAGGCGAGGGGAGGGGAGGGCGCGAAGCCCCTCCGGCTCAGCCGCCTCGGCCTCTTTTGCAGCCGCAACGAGGAGCTGGAGGAGATCGCCTCGGCCGACCTGCGCTTCATGCTGGTGCCGGCCCTGTTGGCCGCGCTGACCCTGCGGCAGGTGGCCCCCCCGCGCCGCCTGGAGCACCTACGTAGGGCCCGCGGCCTCTTCCTCGACTTCCTCCGCCTCTGCCGGGACTACGCCGTGGCCCGCTTCGAACTGCCGCGAGAGGCCGTGGACAGCGACGAGGAGGAGCACGGCGGGGAGGCCGCCCCCTCCCCCTCCGACGGCCAGGCCTCCTTGCTGGCTATGGCGGCCACCCGGCGTGCCAAGATCGAGAGGTAGGCGGGAGGGGAAGCGGCGTTGAGGACCTTTCCTCTCGCCCCTCCCCCCCAGTCCCTGCAGCTTCCAACCTCCCCTCCTCAACCGCGCCCCCGCCAGCGATTTTGGGCACCTCCTTCCACGGAGTGGCGGGGAAGGCCAGCCCTTGAGCCCCTCTGGATTTAAGCAGCTATGGTGGGAATGCTTTGGGAAGAACCACCTGCAGAGGCTGGCAGGGAACTAGTTTCGATTCTGGGTTCTCTCTCTGATTTTCGGAGCAGTGGAATCACTGTATTTTGCAGACAAATTATGGTCATCGTTGGTTTTGTAAAAACCAGCTCTGTAGGGCCGTGGGTTTTGATAATGCAGGGTGCCAGTAGTTCTCAATCTGTGGTGTGCGGAAGTCTGGGGGAGGGGCATGATGTCATCACGGGGTTGGCAAAGGCTTGAAGAAATG